AAGATATAGGCTACAAACAGAAGTTATGGGTTGGTTGGAGTAAGCATGCTATCCAGGGATTTGGGGTGGAGGATGGTTGGTCAGTTGGTAGGAAACCTTAAGCATCAGAATGAAGAGCTTTGATTTTGCAAATGTTGCCATTGGATAGCAATTGAAGATGTCTGGAATTCGGTATTGACATGATGTTAAGGTTAGACACTGAATCAGTCTGAAAATTTGCTTAACAAGTTGTTTTTTTATATCCCATAATGTGAATATTGCAATTCTTTCCATGTCAACCAAAGAAGTAAATAAGAAGCCCACTTACGCTAAACTCTGACCCCCAAGACCTGCATGTTTGGGCCTAGGCTGTTTCCCTAACCTCATTGCCTTTGTCTTTGTATGTTCACTAGTATATAGAGAGCATCATGCTTATTTATGAGGAGACCAAATAGGTATTAACCTTAGAGCCTTTGCATTTATTCTTCTTGAATTCGTTTTCCCCAAAACAGCACCTCCCTCTGCCATCCCACACTCTATTAGTGCCATTTTACTTTATAGTCTATCGTCTGCTATAAAATTATTTTCTGGATAAATTATTGCCATCTGATACTGTTGGCTTCTTTGTTTTCTTTTGTCTTACTAAAGTTTGATTACCAAAAGGAATGGAACTTGACTTTGTTCATTGTTATACCGCAGACTCACTGGAATAATGGAGATATTGGGGGTCTAAAATTAAGTGCCCTCTTTAAGAAAAAGAATAGAAAGTTATCAAACAGAGTAGAAATGAAAATTAATATTTACTCAGAATGCTAGAAAAAAACTGCACTGTAAAGTTTAAATATAAGCATTGTAAGTATAATCATTACAAAATCTAGAAAAATAATATTTTATTATTTTATTGCCTGACCCACTCCTATCCTTTTTCCTCCCACAATTTTTAGTAACATTGTTTCTGATTGACTCTCATAACCATTTTGTCCTATAATTTTCTATGAAGAGAATAGAAAATTATTCTTTTTACTAGCATGGATGATTGAATTTAAATTACTGAGAATTTAGAAAGCCTTTCAACATCAAAATGCATTATTGCTAATGTCTTGTAAATTTTAAATTATGGTGAAATACAAAAATAAAAATCTGGTGCTGGGTTGTAGCTCAGTGGCAGAGCTCTGGCCTAGTATGTGTGAGACACTGCGTTCGATCCTTGGCACTGCATAAAAATCAACAAATAAAATAAAGGCATGCTATCCATATGCAACTACAAAAAAAATTTTTTTAAAGAAAAATCTCTGAAGTTCTTTAGCATTTGAGCCATAATGTTTGAAAGATTATTGCAGAGAATAGTTTCTGGCTTTATGCATTTCCAACCTGCTTCTTCTCCACCACACATACTTCGTAGTCCTGGGGGCCCTAATACATAGGCAAAACCTCTGACCCTATATTTCTCTTTTAAATGGGATGACTTTGTATAGTGAGCAGTAGGAGTGTTTTGGAAGCCATTCCTACACCAGGACACAATAACCTAACTATAAACAGAAGTAACTATAAATCACATAAATAAGCCCCAATAAACCTATCCTCAGTGCATCCCTAACTCAACTTCTCTTAGCTCAGTTCCAGAAATAACCAAGAGCCATTTAAACACTACACATCAGGACAGAAAGATGCTAGGATGCAAAGAAGACAGCAATTATAACCTTGCAGTTAAATCATTTTGCTTTTGCAAATTTCGCATGTGACTGAGAGTATACTTCAAGGCCCCTACAAGAACTTTGAAAAAAGATCTGTGCAAGTAAGGGGCTCTAAAAACCAAGCATTTTTAGCTTTGCTGTGAATTCACTTCTGCCAGCACCTAATGGTATTTGTAGGTACAAAGTAGGCCCAAGGGGGAGAAAATATATATATAAAATATATATTAAATGTGTGTGTATATGTTATGTTTTATCAGGAAAGTAAATACACAAAATATATATACACACAGACATAAATTTTATATATATATATATATATATATAAATTGTTAAATGAATAAGAAAGTACTTCTTTGTTTTTCTTTCATAGAATTGCTGAATTGAGGTGTCTTACATTTAATTGGACCCATTAACTCTAGGTTTCATCTATCATTGAACTATGTTAACTCTGAGTGATTTGGGCTCTATTCTCAATATGAAATATGTCAAGAAAATATATTAATGAGAAGCACAGATACATTGACTCTTTTCTTTTCCTTTCTGTGGGGAAATGAACAATTTCTGTGCAATTTTATCATTCCATCAAGTGCGCTTCCTCACAAGTGCAGGGCAGAGCCAGTACTTAGAATGTCTTATTACGGACATTATGGGAAAACTTTTCTCAGTGAATATGTATGTCTTTTTAGGAAGAATAAATGCTAGTCTGTGACATTTATTCTATTATTTTTGCAACATCTAGGAAAGGAGTTGTCCAGAAATTTTTACTGACATAGCAGCTAGAGGGAGCTGAAAGTTTTGAAGGTCCATGTTTTCCAGATGATATAAAAATATAACTTTACTTGAATTTTAATTTAACTGTCTAATATGAAACTAGGGATAATAATAGAAAGGAAATTGACTATTCAGGTAACAAACTTCGTATTGAATGGGATTTGCTTAGAGTTCCTGGCCTTAATAATGTTCCTTTCACACTCTTGCCCAAGGTTACTAGATCAGACTCTCTGGTAATTTAAAGAACCTATAAAATCAAATAATGCCTTATAAAACCAGACTCTTGAGTATACATTTAAGTGCCATTGAAAAGCCATGTGCCATTTTCTGGATCTAGAGGCTTTTAGAGAACACCAGAATCAAAATATGTCTTGCAAATGCCGATTTTTTTCTTCTTCTAGGCATTCAGATGGATACAGTTGAAAGAAGGTAAAAGGTTATGAGGCAAATAATGATCTATTGACCGCAAAGTTGTGGATTACTGCTAGGCTTTTATTTGTGTGCTTAATTTAAGATGATAGAATATTTGTGATGCTGTGAGTGGAAATACTAGGCAATCCTGAATCAAATACAGAAAATATTTCCAACATTTACATCTTTGTCACTTTCACATATTTTTAAAAACTTCAAGACAATCTTGGGACCTAATTGGATATACACAGTATTTAATATGAAAGGACAAATGTAGGTGCAGCTATTCATTTTGGATATTTTGGAAGGAAAATATATGTATCCATTTGATGGTGGATTTTTTCTGGGAGGTGATGTGCTTTGGTTCTAAAGCAGTGACACTTTGAGGTACCCTGTCAAGGACCATGTTACTGGCTATATTGATTTTCTGATCGTAGTAAAATCTTTTTAGTCTCTGGCAGATAATTTGCTGCTGTACTGCTGTTTACTGCAGCTTGAGGAAGGGAGGAATAGGTCAGTTTGAAAGGATTAAGAAAATGGATAAAAAATTATAGGCTGCCTGTTAAAATACCCTCATAGTGTGTAAGTGTTTGTCATAAGTAGAGTAGGGGGAGTCATGTTTTTCCAGGAAAGCACAGACATATTTCAGTATGATTAGAAAAAGGTAAAGATTTTTTTTCCTTAGTGTCATTCAGCTGGTGTAATGAGCATTATTGATTAAAATGTTAGGATCAATAAAGATTTAAAGTTGAAGTAGAGGAGACCTTACAGAGGAGAAAAAGGTTACGGTCTGTTGAGCAGGCAGGCAATTAAATGCTTTGTAGAAAATTGATTTCTTAAACTTGAACTGTCAGTTACTCTGCTTGGCCTTCATTGGCATGGATTCTTCTGCAGAATGTGCACAGAAAACAACATGCCTTCCTATAAGACTCATACACTAAATATTCGTGAACATCGTGTACAACGAGAAGTTCATTATTTAAGGTTTTCCAAAGAATTCTCCATAATGGTAATGAGGAATGATGCCCTTCAAGTCATTGAACAATCAATAAACTTAACATTGTTTCTTTATATATATTTCATATTTTGTCAGATTCTAGTATTTAAACAGTAATGTTTTAAATCCCTCTTTTTCTCAACTCATCAGTATCAAAATCTACCAAATGTATTGGACTTTTTATGTTACAGCCTCATAACCAAGGATCAGGAGTTAGATATTCCTCACTCAGAAGCAATTTCACTGCTATTTGTTGCTTATTACTGTTATTTATAGAAGAAAATACTGGACTGATCTGGAAAAATACATGAGTAGGACACCAAACCATACAAGAGTCAGTGCCAGAGTGGAGAAAAGACTGTAATCAAACTATCAACAAGTCAAGAAAGGAAGTAAAATCCACTAATACAAATTTTAGGAAAAACATCTCAATGAGCATTTTTTTTTGAAAGTGTGTGCAAAAATATCCCTAAACAACCCAGAGGCCAGTACCTGAAAATACTAACAACTAAATTATGGGCTTTAGTGGGTGCTGTGGAGAAAAGGTGGAAAGGTATAAAAGAAAGGCTTAAGTGGAAAGAAAAGAACAAAGACTGACCAGTCCCCTCACTTCTGGTTAGGACACATTTCTCAGGGCTATTCTTGCATTATATTTCCATATAACTAATTTAAATTTCTTTTAAAACTTTTACAAATAATGTTTTAGATTGGGTCCAAAAAACAATTTTTAAAATCAAACTTGACCTTCGTGAAACAGTGAATTTCACTGCTTATTTTTCTAAGATATTTGTGCATGTGTTAAAATGCAGTAACTATCAATATGTAGAAATGAATGATAAACATTACAAATTCATTTCTTCTAAGTTGCATAAAATATCAATAAAAATAATAGTTAATTATAAAAGTTATTTAATTTCCTTTGGAGGAGCTCTTTTACAAACATTTAATTTTACAAACATTTCAATTTTAAATTCTTAATTGTGACTCTATAACCTTTTTTCAGGTAATCTGGATAGAGAAATCAGTGGTTCATTTGTCTAGCACTTTGATTTTGGTGGATTTCCGATCTTGTAATCAATAGTTCACACTGTCTGGAAGAATGTTTTAGAAACCAGTGAGTTCTCACTTCCTCTTGCCTTGGCACACAGGTGCACCCTGAGTGTGACACTGGAGCAAGCCATCATTCTAGCCAGGAGCCATGGGCTGCCTCCTCGCTACATTATGCAGGCTACAGATGTGATGCGGAAGCAGGTGAGTCTAATGCCTGTTTAGGGAAGTTTTGGAACTCCCTGTGTTTGAAGGTTCCTTTGTTCATTCATCAGGTCAGGTATCTGACTGGTGCCTTGATGTGTAGGGCACTTTTCCAGACACATGACTTGGTAAGGTAAGTCGTGGGTGAGAAGCAATCCAGTGGGATGAGAACTTGATACAGACTCTTAGGTAAGTGTTCTCCAAGAATTTTGGACAACCCTGGAAAAAAAGGGGTCTATGCAGTAATCTCAAGGAGTAAAGGGAATTGGCTATGTAAATTAGGACAGGAAAGGACTAGGGGCTTGTGTAAGGGACAAGATAAAGGACATTTGGAATTTTCTGGAAGTTGTTACGTGATTTAGTAAATCTTGAGGAATGGATTGAGAGAGGGACAGGCAAGAAAAAAGATGGAAAAAATTGAGCAATCTGCTTACTTATTACATACTTCTGGTGATCTCTCAGACTTCCATGCTATGCTGAGAAGTATATGTTTTATTTCAAGGATAAAGTGCTGACTTTAAATTTTGCTTTAGAGAATAAATAAACTGCCTTTGGGCTGTGTTTAGGTCACTGGAATATTCATAGTTGAGAATGTACTCTCTGAATTAATAGAATGAACTTTGTATGCCATCACCCAATAGCTTTTTTTTAAAGAGTAGTAGCTTAGTTTTTAACTTGTAAAATTCTTTTAAAAAATCAAAATAAAAAATGGACTAATTTCAATTTACTAATTAGGAAATAAGCTTAATCTATAAGAAAAGACAACCTACAGAATGACAAAAAATCAAAAGATACTATTTTTTTTTTTTTACATTTTTCTATCACTTTTAAGCTACTACAATAGCAAATCTCTTTATTTGCTGCTTTGGTTCGAGTTGTCCAGTGATAGTGAGTGATTAATTCTTAAGGTATGCATTTGCAATTATAACTGCTTGTATTTACCAAAGATTTAGTGTAGAACTCCTAAGCAGACACATAAATCCCTCTGGGCTTGCTCCCAAGATTACAGTACAGAATGTCAACCAAGCCAATGAAAAAAATCAACAAAAGATTACCACTGAGCTGGCACCTGCATTGTAGAGATCAGGTACAGTGAGGGCATATACATGACACTTCTGGGTAAGAACCCAAGAACTGAAGATTGACAACCAAGATCTTAGAAGGTCAAAGGATTTACTAAGTAAAGGTTAGGTCTACCAGAAGTATGGGATAAACTGTTGTCCAGCTGGCAAAGGACAAACACGGATGCAAATTGCCAGAGGGCTCAGGAAGAATTTTTGGAGAGCAGATATGCAAATTATCCTTTAAAAAGTAAATCAAAATAAACTTATGATTAGTCACATCAGAATTGTATTTGCATCGCTAATTTTATTTTATTGTGTCGCTCTTAGAGTAAATTTCTAGGAGAACTTGGAAGAGCCATCTCAAAAATTGTGACATATGGCAAGAATCTATCTTTCTTTAGAATATTCCACTACAGAGGTTAAGTCACTACATATACATTCCTACATTGTGGAAATGAATAGCCATGATTCTAATATCTTTAACTTCCTAAAACTGAAAATGGAAATAGAGATAAAGTAAAGACAATGTTTTATAAGCCTAATAACTCATTTCATGGTGCACAGCTCTTTAACACATGGTATATTTATACAGTATTAATACATGATATCTGGAATATCATTTAAAATACTGAAAAGTCATGCAGTGTCTTGTAATGTCTTTATTGATTTCTGAGCTGCATTATTTTTCCTGTATTTATCACTCTTTCCTGCTCCTTATTTTTTAAAATAAATACATTTAGAATACTTTCTTCCTTTTTTTGCTGATTCCTCAGCACCAAGTTATGCATCCCAAATAACTGATTTAAAACTTCTTTGTGGAAGATCTTAGAGCCTGGGGCTCTCTTTTAGGGAAAGCAAGCAGATGTTTCTATAGTATTCTTTCTGAGGCCAATCTTCTTTTCAGTATTCAGCCAAAGTACATGGTGGGTTTATTGGCCGGGATCCAGTCTCCAAGCCAATTCTTACACACTTAGAATCTGAGCAGTTAGAATACAAATCTAAATCAAGGCTAGAACTTGGATTTTCTGTCCTTTTTGCTTTCCAACCTCAGAGAAAAATATTTAGCCATTTAGACTCAACTTTTCAGAGATAGAGAGGTTAGAAAAGTTTTTATCTTTACTATAACTTGAAGTATTTGAATTATTTCATTATCAATTTGAATTTTTATATTTTAAGATATAATAGTTTGTTAGCTATATATTGAAATTTTGCAATACATAATAAACAATATAATGAATAAGCTAAGATCTTCAGTTTCTTTCTAGAAATGAACTTTTTGACATGATTTATTCTTATTTATAATTTCAGTATTATTTTCATGTGTATATTTTGTACACATGGTATTTTAATTTGTTGCTTGAGTTTGAAGAAAGGATACAAGATAGAAGGGAAAGTGACCATATAACTTGCACTTTTTGATAATATTTACGATAACCATAAGCAGCTCTTTTATATAACCAGGTGATCTGAAAATATTGAGGTCTAAAATTTTATTTTCATTATAAACTTATTAAAGTTTTCCATGCTAGAAAATATGCATACCAAATGTCCTTTTAGGAAGCCTATGCAAAAATTGTTTTTGATCTTTTTAGTAAAAGCTGGGATTCCAACATATTCTGTCTTCATACCTTTGGTATCAAGGATCCTACTAGTCACCAAGAAAAGACTTGGGTGTGATAAAGTCCTGGCCTAGTCTCATAGTGTAATATGTAGGCAAATTGCCAGGATACAGGCACCCACATGCAAGTGTAAAACCTCAGTCTTTCAGGATACAGAACAGGGAGCATGGTCCCTCAATAATTGGGAAACTGAGACTTATTCATTATGGTATCAGAGTTTCCTAGAATAATACTTAGTATAAAGTTAGTGCTAAATGAGGTTTGTTCAGTAATGGTTGTAGCTAGGAAGATTGGAAAAGGCATCTCACACAAGGTGAATATTTGATCATGGCTAAGAGCACAGATTCTTGAGCCAAGCCGCCTCAGTTGGAGTCTCACCTCCATTGTTTATTATCCTGTGATTTGGGACAAGAGTTTTAGTTTCTTTATTTCTTAATTTTTTCACTATTATAACAGGAATATTAATAGCACTTGCCTCATAGTGTTGTAATGAGAATTCTATAAATCGATAGACTTAATGCACTCAAAGCATTAAGTGATTTACTGAATAACCTGTTATTAGCAAATGAAGGTGATATTTTATTTGCATCTCAGAGAAAAATGTAATGCAGACAGAGAAAAGAGTATTAGGGAGAGCATTTAGGCAAAGGGAGCAACATGAATGAGTGTGTAAGAATCCAAGTTGAATATATGAAGAATTATATAGATGGGTTCAAGGTAAAACATGCCACATGATGTATTCAGCATGATGAGCATCACATTTAAAGAAAGCAAATCTTTCTATTCACTGCTTAATGGAATATTATGACACTATAGACAAAGAATTAAATGTGAATACTGGGGTCTTGTTAGTGAATCTGTTTTTCACATGGATATGACTTAAAAATTCATAAACCAATTTATGTGTACACTAGGATTGAACAAATAAGTAAAGATGTCATAAGTAATGAGAAGTCAGACCCTCAGTGACTGAAAAAGAAGTCATATATCAGGAAAGGGTGAAGGCTGGAATCTACAATGAACCCTGTGGTACTAGGTTGGAATTAGCAATATCAGTATGACTAATGGGTCCATACACACAACACACACAGACACAAACAGATGTAGGAATGAATGTGGTGTTCAAGTATGTTTGTGTTAATAAATAAGCCCCGTCCTCTGGAAAGCCCTAGAAGTAGTTGTATCATCAACAGTAATGAGCACATCCTGTATCCAAATTCTGGTTTCTAAATACTGTATTCCAGTGAAAAGAGCCAAGGCCCTTGGAGAAGTGATGAATTACCAACTGAGACAGAGAAAATGAACCTAGAATATCTTGAGGTGCAGAAAATAAAGACACACTAAAATTAAAACATAATGAGTGTATATCAAAAGGGTACAAGAAGCAACCAGAAAGAGCCCCCATTAGTCAAAACTAGAATGCTTTGAGTAAAAAAAAATTAATAAAAATATTGGATATCTCATACAGTAAAACCAATATATCCAAGTCCATGCTGAGTTAAATATATAATTGAATAATTAAATAATTTGGGGAAAATAATCCTTCTTTACAGAATCCCAGTTCATAAGCACTGCACTAATTTTGTTGCAGACAAAAAAAATACCAGTGGAGGCTAAAATAGTGAGTGAAAGTTCAAAGAGAAGAAGGATGTTTGCAAAGTCTCATATCCTCTTTCCCGGAGTCTTTGTTAAGTCTGCGAAGGCAAGGTGGGAATGTTGCAGTGGGAAAATAAGGCAGATGCCCCTTAAGTCAAGTGATCAAAGTTAATGTTCCAGGTATTAAGATCTATTGGCATCATATGTCCCCAAATATAATGCACAGAGAAGGGCACAACATCACTTCTGTGATTTTATTATTTTTTAAAAAATTCTTTTTCTCTACCTAATCATGAGAAGACATCAGATAAACATAAATGGTGACAGTCTACAAAATAATGACCAGCCTGTTAATTAAGGTCACAAGGAGATATTAAGGAACTGTCAGGGGGACAAAGCAGATATGAAACAAAATGCAGTAGGGGATCCAGGATTGGTTTCTGGAAAAGGAAATTGGGGAAAATATGGAACTGGAATAAGATGTGCCATATAGTTAATTGTATTGAACCAATACAGTTCCTGGTTTTTATCATTGTACTGTGATTAAGTAAAGGGTAAACATTAGGAGAAAAAGGATGAAGCATGAAGAAAAATCTCTGTTCTATTTTTATAAATTTTATCTAAATCTAAAATCACTTTAAAGTGGAAAGTTTTAGCTACTTAATTGCAATTCTTTAATCCGTCCTGTCTTTTGTCACCAGTACCACTACCATCGCTGTTTCCCTATTTGCCTTTTTATTAGGTCCATCTTAAGAGAATTTTTTTTAGGTGTTTTTTTTTTTTTTTTTCTCCCTTTTTCTCTTCCCCTGACTTAGTTCAGTATTTGGAAGCTAGAACATTTCAGTTCCTTTTTTTTTTAATGTATATTTTTAGTTGTAGATAGACACACTACCTTTATTTATTTATTTTTATGTGTTCTGAGGATCCAACCCGGTGCCTTACATGGGCTAGGCAAGCACTCTACCACTGAGCCACAACCCCAGCTCCAATTTCGCAGTTTCTTAAGCACCCTTCCTTTAGCTATGCCCATCCAAAAAACTCTGCTGTTTTGTTCTCTATAGTAACTAATTTCCATTAGGAACTGGACAGTAATTATAACTTTATTCATGAACTTGACCAGTTTTAGAAACTTTTTTATTCCTGGAGATCATATTTGTCTGGTGCTGTGGCACATGCCTATAATCGCAGCAATTCAGGAGGCTGAGGCAGGAGGATCTCAAGTTCAAAGTCTGCTTCAGCAACTTAGCAAGGCCCTAAGCAACTCAGTGAGACCTTGTCTCTAAATAAAATACACAAAAAGTATTAGGGATAGCTTAGTGGTTGAGTGCCCCTGGGTTCAATCCGTGGTCCCAAAACTAAAGAAAAGAAGAAGATCGTATTTAAACTATAAACTTTGAGATAAAATTCTTAAACTTCAGAGATCCATATTGATATGGCTTTTCCAGGAATTGCTTTAGAACTATTTCAGAAATCATTTTCTTGCTAAATATTATTAAGTTTAAAATAGTCAACTATTCAGCTAAGGAAAAACATATGACTGACTGTTCCAAGAAGGCGGTGGGACAGCAGGTATTTCTACCTTGTTTGTTTCCTATTTTCAGCATTTGAAGTTATTAATTATTGTGTCTAGGAATAAAGACATAGATGGGATGTTGAACAGGAAGCTGTTAAACTTATTTGAATGATTCAGATGTCTTTAGAAATAATTATTAATCATTTTGAACAGCATAGCATATTTTCTCCCTGCCCTTTGCTACTGGGAATTGAACCCAAGGGATCTACAACTGAGGCATACCCCCACTTCTTGTTATTTTTTAGTTAGAAACAAGGTCTCCCTAATTTATTTAGATCCTTGGCAAATTGCTGAGGCTGACCTTGAACTTGCTATCCTCCTGGCTCAGCCTCCTGAATCACTGGGAATACACGTGTATACCACCATGCGCAGCCTTACAACACCTTCATGCCATATTTTGATTCTTAAAAGCATTAATTTCAAAGATGTTCAGGTGGTGATTTCTCGTAGTCCTTATACAGTCTCTCTTGATGTTAAATATATTGTTGGAATAAGTATTCTACATTCAGATATTAATGATATTTAAATAAATAGTAATACAGTATAGAGCTAAAAGTGATTTTCCTGACTTCAGGGAGCAAGAGTTCAGAACACAGCAAAGAATTTGGGAGTGAGAGACCGGACCCCTCAATCAGCTCCAAGGTAAGTACATCCCTGCCTTCTCTTTCCAGAGGGTTCACCAGCTTTTGTTCTGCATGGCTAATATACCTACTTTAGGATATGTCCACTATCGTACTTATAGTATTTCTGGGGATTGACCTCAGAAACACCCAGCCACTAAGTGTGATTAGTTATAAATGATCATAATTAAATGGATACCATCCTATTTTGCATATTCCATTATGAATTTAAAAAAAAGTCCACATGGATACAACTAACTGGGCCTACAACCAACATGCCATTTTCATTTATCCTTCTATTATCATGCATATTCTTTCCTCTACTGGGATTGTCTTTCCTATCTGTGTCTATATGGAAGACTCCTACTTAACCCACAAAATCTACTTTAGTTATCATCTCCGCTAGTAGTCTTGTTTGTGTTCCTTTTCTCTGGTTGCCCTAGGTATCTTGTATATTGCTGTATGATAGCCCTTATGTTATTATATTATGCTGTGGTATTTTGTTGACATGTTTCTGTGCCCAACCTGAGTAGGAATTTTCAGGAGTCAGTATGGATTTGTAGATTTTATTCCTTTGCTCACCATAGACATCCAATATCTAAACTGATTTCAAGAACATGTGAATGAGTAAGCATATTAACAGGGCTATCGTCTGAGATGCTAAATATTCACAGTTCACGCATCATCATAATAAAGGACTCCCGTCTACCTTTAAGACAGATGAACATAGTTAGCATCCACAGAAAAAATGTTTTCCGCTCAGTTTCCCTGGTGATTAGGGTAGGCAGTCATCTATCTTGGAGTGGGACAAAGCTAACTAATTTCTTCTACATGCAATTGCTTTTATACAATTGCCTTTGGACAGGAAGTAGGCTCCTGCAAACACTGTCATGGACAAGACACTTTTTTTATTTGTTTTTATTTGCAACACCATTACCAGAGCAAGAATGAAGACTGCAGCATTTATGAAGTTATATTTCATTCTGAAAAACTACATGGGAAATGAAATTTCTTTGAAAAGGAAAAACATATCCCCCACCCTGAAATGGATGGAGCATTCATTTTATAGTTGCATTTCTTTTTAGTGCTAACTCCTAACTCTGTTTAATCCTCGTCTTGTTATCGTTATCTTCCACAGTTGATTAGATTAGAATCTCCCAGTTTCTATTGCTGAAGAATCATTTCACATAAGCCTTGTCTCCTCAATGCCTTGAGCAGACATGGTATATTATATAACAGACCCACTGAAGTGTTAAAAAAACAAGATAATGGCTTACAGGATGTTTTTAGCTAGATCTTATAAGCACTAACAAACAGTGAGTCTGGGATAAGACTTTAGCATCCTGATCAATAAGCCAATATGCAAGCCAAACACAAGAAAAGCAACTGATGAACTCACTTTCTTCTTTATTGGTTTATGTAATACTTGAAATGAAGCACAATAAAATTAGCCAGCTATAAAGTTAAAATAATAACCCTGAGAGAGAGATTAAGAGTAATTTAAAAAAAATGGATTTTAGTTACTCTTTTATTCATTCTACAAGCATCTATTTAGGACCCAAGAAATGCAGCCCACTCTGCTATGCCTCATGAAAAATGTAAACTTGAAATAGAAGTAGCTCTGGCCCTCAAGGAGCTTTTAGTTAAGTAGGCTTGGTGAGGAAAACATCATTGTAAGCAAAGGTGGAATGTGAGAAGCTGTCCTTGGAGGTGGGGTGCAGAGAGAATTCTGAGCACAGAGGTCTGGCATTCCTCCTCAGCTGGAACAGCACTCCAGCCTCAAAGGCAGTGAGTTGAAAGACACATTTGTCTCTCAAGCTCAGACCACCCACAGCAAAGCTAGGGTAGTGAAGTTACCTTCACAAAAGTCTAGTGTGCTCTCTCTGCCTGAGATGGTCTTTGGTTCAAATCCCCCAACCCGTCTCCATTATAGTACACTACATGTGATAATAACTGTGACACAAACTGAGCATAAATTGTCATGAGAACATGGAAGAATCATGTGCAGCCAAAGGAGGGAGAAGGAAGGTCACAGAATGCTCCTGGTCTAGACACGGGGGCCCAGAGAAAACATTACATTCTGAGAACCATACTTGAGTCTGTGTGACTGACAGTTGAAAGTGATATAAGAATAATGTTAAGCAAGGCTGGAGATGCAGGCAGGGGCCAGATCAGAAAGAGATGAACCAGAAATACTGAAGAGTTTTCATCTTAAATTGAAGACAGTAGGGAAGCATCAATAATCTTCCTACTTGGAAGAAGATCTGACTTTTAGAATTTGTCTCAGGTGACATTAGAAGGGTCTATTTCTAAGACTGAGAATAGAAGTTTGAAAGGAGACTATTGAGAACCCCTGTGCTTGAAGGGTGGATTAGAACAGTACTTAGAAGGCAGACTTACTAGTCTTTGGGCACAAATTGAATGAAGATAGATAGGGGAATGGAATATTCCAGAGTGACTATAAAATCTTTGACTTGGGTAATAAGGGGTTGGTGGTTATGTCCCCTGAGATAGTGGATCACAGGGACTTTCATGTGGGTTATATTTGTGGGCAGTTCAACACACTGGTCCAAAGCCAAGGAGAGGCAAATAGGTGGAGCTGTCTGTGGTCTTGTGAGTCATCAATATTTATAAAGTCAGTGAGGATATAGAAGTGAATGTTATTGCCATGGTGAGTAGATAACAGATGAGAGAAGATCCAGAACCCACCAGAGAAACGCCAATAGTGAAGAGAAAGCAAAGGAACAGGAGTGACAGAGTCAAAGGAGAGCAATTGGGAACATGGAAGGAAAATAGGAGCTGGTTGTTCTAGAATTCAAAAAGGAGGAAGTGGCTGTGGTCACACCATAGAAAGAGTGAACGTAATAATTTCTGGAATCAGAATGCTGGAGACAGGAGTGTTAGGGTTTAATAGTGCTGAGGTAGGTTGGTTCTGAGTAGTGACAACGGAAAGTCTACTCCTGGGAGCAGGTTTCCTGGACATCTTGGCATCTTGGCTTCATCACATTTTGCATACTCCCCTCTAGGAATCAGGGTCTGAAACGTATCAGAAACTACTTTTGTTTTTAGGATATCAAGGTGGATGAGAAGCATTCCATGTACTACAGGCGCTTGCAGTCCAATAGAATGGAAAGAAAACATAGGTTTGGGCGATCAGATGAATGTGTTGTGATTGAATGGCACTGAAGTAGGGGTTGGGGGCAGACTTCCTCTCTTTGGCTCCCACGTTTGCATTGGCTTTGCAAAGCAATTATCAAATTTTCATCAACAACCAAATATGTCATTCCAAATGTCAGACCACTAGTTGTGGCATATTGTTTTCTGTTATGTCACAAAATCCAGAAGTATTTTGCTGTAAAGACTTTATTTGTGTAGTGGGAAGGCCGCATCGTACTATAGTGGTTAAAAAAGAAGAAAAGTGATTTTTTGAGGAGTCCCAGATCCTGCTATGTGATCTTAGTGAGGTCTTCGTTTTTTGAGATTCTATTTTCCAATCTGTAGGATAAAGAGAATTGTCTTGAGATAGAGTACCATTGGTACTTGAACCTCAGAAGAGGCATTTACTTTGTCATCTCCATTAATACATCTTATATTTTTGCTATATAGAAAGATAAAGAGCATGGGCTTGGGTTGTGACTCAGCTGTAGAGTGCTCACCTAGCATGCACGAGGCCCTGGGTTCGATCCTCAGCACCACAGATAAATAAATAAATAAATAAGATAAAGGTATTATGTCTAACTACAACTACAACTAAAAAATAAATATTAAAGAAAAGAAAGATGAAAAGCCTGATCTATAGAATAAAGTTTGAAAATTCTTCTCTCTGCTAATTTGAATTTGGACTGAATCACCAGCTCCAAAAATGGCTCCCTGAGCCCAAACAGGAATAGGAGGAAGTGGAGCCAGGAACAGACCTCACTCCTGCAGGGCACTGGTATGCATGAGTGTAATGAGAATACAGGAAGGGCCCCAGATGTTGGGCAAAAAAAGTCCTCCTGGTGCCCAACAATTTAGCTGCCAAAACACAAATGCCTCAGAGCCGAGTTGGAGTCCAACTCTTTACCTATTACATTTTACTTCCAAACTTCATCTGCCTGCTCTGAATTCCCAGAGCTCAACAATTTCCATTACAAATGTGGCTGAACTCAAATAACCCTGAGTCTCTTCCAAGAAGCCTCAGAAGCTGAATCTGCCCAGCTCCACAGAACCCAGAGCTATTATTTCATTAGGTGATCACAGAGAGTAGCCTTTTCTCCAATTTGCAAGGCAGACATTTCAGACTCATCTACCTAGTGGCATTAGTTACATTCTGTGCAAACGTGCAGAGCAAGGTAATGGGATGTGGTGGCACAGCCCAGATCTCATGGGGCAGGACGTCCACCGCCCATCCTCCTCTTTCTTTTCTACCTGAGTAAAAGCCATTGTGCTTTCTTACTCCTTAGGCAGCCCTGTCAGGGAAATAAGAGGACAGAAATTAAGGAGGAAAAGAACCTTCTGATCATCCGATTTTTTTTTCAGTCCTGAGAAAGCAATTTGAAGTAACACCCTATCTTTCAGCTGCAAAAGAACATTTCAAGTACACTAGCTCAATTTAATGCATTCTCTTCTCCAGGAAAGATGAAATAAGCTTTTATAATGTGACATGTCCTTAGTTCATTATTCATCTCTTCCATGGAAATAACATATAGAACATAAACCACCTTCCCGACTTGAAGTATGTTCAAAGATAATACATTTTGCGTTTCCTAAGAAAGTTCATGTTGTTAACCAAATTTACAACTCTAAATTAAAGCTTTCTCCTTCTTACCCATTGATTTAGAATTAGCATGGAATTAAATGTCAAAGGAGAGAGAATTTATAATTTACTAAATAGGTTAACAATTCATTTACGCTGTGTTCAACGTAATCTGTAAATGGGAGTGAATCACTATAGCAGTCCCTGAGTTTGGACTGCTTTTGAAAAAGGGAAAAGTTGGGGCTCAGAGTGTGGCTCAGAAGTAGAGTGTGTGCTTAGCATGCATGCAGCCCTGGGTTCAATCCTTAGCACCAGAAATAAATAAACAACAGAGGAAGGGGTAGCGTTGGGTTCTGCGTTTAAAGTCATTAGCTTAAGCTCTGCAGTTTGACGAGTGTGGAACCTTGGTCATTATTAGAGGTAACAGGTGTAGTCCAATATCCAACCACTTTAGTTCAGCCTCTCTTCTTTCAGGATACACTGAAAGTAATGCACATGGCCTTGAGGTCACTAGAGTTAGGGTTATCTGGCAGCCATCATGTTCACTTTTACTTTGGTTCTAGAATTAGGATTCAACTATTAAAAAGAATGTAGAGACTGGAACTTGTGTAAACTTAGCTAGTTCCTCGGAGTTTTTTGTTAGTGCTCAAACAACTAGACCTGGGCTTCAAAGGGGAGCATCTCCAGGCATCTCCACAGTTAATGTGGATTCTTTGACCCACTTTAGAATCCACTGGCCAGGTAAGTGATAGATGGCAGAACCAGGTGGCAAGTCCTCAGGGAACCCCAGCTAATGTGCCTTTGAGATTCAGGCCTCAGGAATCTGCCATGTCAGGCCATTATTCACATCCACACCTCAGGCATAGTCCAAAATGCAGTTAGCTTCAAAACTGGTCAGAAAACCAGCAGATCCCTGTGAGATAAGAGCTGTCTTCCTGTAAACAAGATATTCATAATGACAGAGGTGATGGCAATTATAATAATATTACCTCCTGGAATTCAGAGAATAGATTTTTACTACCAGCAAGCTAAGCAGGCTTGGATTGGCAGCACTTGAGCAGAACAGCAGGTTTTTAAAATGCAGTGTGGCATAATCAGTAGCCATTGAGAGATGCAAAGAAACCTGGTTTTCTAAATCACAGAACCAAAATTTTAGAGTTTGCTTATTCATATGCTATGCTTAGTGAAGTAAACAATGCGACCTTGACTCATAGAACCAAAAATAATTACTTTCAATGTATTTGTTACACCAATAAAATTATCTTAGGTAAGAAAAATACAGTGGGCAGCTGTCAAACTTACCTGTGCCTCTTCTAGGCTGTACAAGCTGTGCGAGCCCCCTCCCACGGCTGGAGAAGAATGAAGAGAATCCCAAGGAACCAAGCAGGTGGAAGCTTCTGAACACTGGCCCTGACCAGTACATGCTGGTTCAGCATTCTCCACTGAAAATAAAAGAACTGCATTTTTTTCTTTCCTCTAAATCTTTCCCCACGGTGTTTTATAACTAATGCTCAGTTTGTACTTGGATATTTATGCTGGAAATGGGTAGGAGTTCATTCAGACTTCAGCCTCACAAAGTGATCTCTGTAGATTGATGTTATGTCTTCATTTTTCGGGCAAAAATTCATCTCCGGAATTTATAGAAAAAAAAAATGTCCGAGATAAAAACATTTAACTATTGGTCTCCTCTCGGATTCATTCGTTTGATTGTATCTGTTTTCAGTCCATTCCCCAAATGGACACATGTAATAATGGATAGTTTTGCTTGAAGAAGTCTGTCACTGAAAAACACATGGTCACACTCGGCACATCATCATGTGAAAGTTAAGAATGGTATAGACTGAGAGGCATAGGTTTCCCATCCCCCACTCATGTCAGAGGAGGGTATATGTGTGGAAGCTGGAAACACATGCTTCTCTGTTTGTCCTAAGGGCTGCTCAGTAGAGGAGAAGAGAGCTTTCAGGCCTCCAGCAAGACTTTCTTCCATTACTTCCAAGTGTACTTTATGCTCATGAACAAGTCCAGTGAGCTGGTGCTGTCTTTGGTCTCTGCTGTGGGCCTGGCTTCCCAAGGATACCTGTCTCAAATCAGTGGCCCTGGGTAGGGCATGGTGTGGGGATCAGAAAGGTGAGGGGAAAGGCAATGGGTCAAGAAGAAAAAAATAAACCTATTTAAAAACTCACATGTCTACCTTAGAAAGAAACCTAAAACTCAGTTTTTGGAAGCCTTTCCACAAGATGTCAGACTCAAAAGAATTCACCATCAGGAGTGCTTTTTTCATCCAAGTATTGTACAAGATGTGAAAATAAAGCTTGTTATACTTTAAAAGGACCACTGGAAACCTTGATTGTGGACACAAAGTATATCCCATGTTCATCCTAAAGTCTGTGTGATTTTTGCCATTTCTCCATTGATAGAATAGTATGGTTTTATCATTGTGAATAATTAACATTTATTTTAAATTCATAATTCTCAAAATAATGGAAAGATTCTTATTGTGTTTATAATAATTAGAGCCACACTTTGCTTCACAGCAGGAGGCCGCCCTGAGAAAAGTGTCACTAGGCAATTTCATCATCATGCAACTATCATGCGCTTACACAAGCTGAGATGGCTACGACATCATTAGATGGTTTAATTTGTGGGACCCCTGTCATATATGCTGTCCTTCATTAACCAGAATGTCATTATGCAGCACATGACTGCATGTGGATTTAGACTAAGTATGTGAAATAACCATGGTTTAGGCAAATCGTTATTAAATTTTAATTTGCAAAATCTAATAATGGCTTTCATACTATCATTAAAAACTTTCATCACTAGCAGTTGTGTTTTGAGTAACAAAAATACCATGTTCTGTATTATGTCTGTAAATTTACTGGTCAAGGTAATAGTTGTTATTTGGCACGGAAGCACTTGAGACTCTTCTGTTGAGCCCATAGGTATAGCGACAAACAAGGAAACTAAGATCAAAGTTTCCAGAGCAAAAGTTGGACATTTTGAGTTTAATGAAGATAATGACCTTCACATAAGTCTCTATATAAATAACTCTGGACTCTCAGAAGTCTCACATTCTTGACATTTTCAGCAAGTGATCCTGAAGGCTCATCTAATTTGTGATTTTTTTCCTGTTTTGAAAATTCAATAACTTTCAACACAGGGCTAATGAGTGAACACAACTGGTTAATTAGCTGGTACTTATCATGTTGTCATTACTGTCTTCTAGTCACCATCCTGGCAGTGATCCTCATCAGAGGCCTGTCACCTAAACATTTTAGAACTTTGCCACATCTCCTGGGCTCCACTATCTGCTCTTTAGGTATTTACAAATTAATATATTTTAAAGGGTCTAATCTCTATAATAGAATATGCTCAATAATATTTTCAGGGTTAAATGTAAGTGTACAATCTATCAGTGTATATGCCACCTACTAAATTCATGAAAGCCTGAATGGTTTATATTAACATGAGTCACTGTTGTTTTTAACGGTAATAATATCTGTAACTAATATTTACTAAATGATCACTGTGTGCTAAGTGGCACCTCTGATTGCTTTTCCCACATTTTGTTACTACTTCACATAATCCTCATAACATTGATATTAGTTGGTATTATTTTTATCACTCCCATTTTATTTGCATTTGAGGAACTGAAGCAAAGAATGTTCCAGTGACTTGTACCAGTTCGTATGACTCACAAGTGGTAGAAGCAAAGTTCAAACCCAGGAAATCCTTTTTCTTAATATGTTATGCTGCTTTTCCATGTTGATATAACAACTATTGTAATATTACCAATTACTTGTTAGTAAAGCTAGAGTTATATGGCATGTGTTGCCATGAAAATATACATATTAAGCTGAAAAAAAAAGTGAATGGGGGCTGGGGTTGTGGCTCAGTGGCAAAGCACGTGCCTTGCATGTGTAGATCACTGGGTTCGATCCTCAGCACCACATAAAGATAATAAATAAATAAATAAATATATTGTTTCCATCTGTAACTAAAAAAAAAAAAAAAGTGAATGGAACTATGTGAAATGCCTTTAACACATGAAAATCATAGGATTTCCTGGAAATTTTAACATTTGGATATACATTTTGAGGAAACCCAGTGCTGTTGCAAACTGAACAAAATATTTTATATCATATGCCTTATCATCAAAAGATGGTAGTTTTAGATATATATTGCAAGTCTAGAATGTAATGATATAAAATTTGACTATTAATTCCAAGACAGTGGTAATAGTAGAAAAACAAAACAAAACCAAAAAAACATCTAATGGGTCAATTTTTCAATACCATATTATGTCTCCTTATGATACTGGGCATTTAATTTGCCTTGAATTTTAGAACCATGTTTCTCTGTAACCATGGTTCCTTCAAATATTTCTAAAGCTTGCTAACTGTTCATCCAAACTCTGGATTTGGATATCTGCCCCTTCCTACCTAAAAGGGAAGGAGAGTCATGCATTGAAATTTGGGATCTCTGCATAGGAACTGACTTAAAAATAATTAATTAGTGGGGCTGTGGTTGTGACTTAGTGGTAGAGCACTTGCCTGGCACATGCGAGACACTGGGTTTGATCCTTAGCACTATGTAGAAATAAATAAATAAAATAAAGGTATTTTGTCCATCTCCAACTAAAAATATTTTTTAAAATAATAATTAGTAATTCAGAGTCAATGCATCATAAATATTTTATCATAACTGATACATATCTTCTAATTATAAAATTTAGTGTGCTGTTAAAGAGTATGAGGAGTTTGAAAACACTAGAAATTTACATTTATTTCCATTAGAATGTAAGGAAGGGGAAGAATTTCTGTACTAGTTTTACTTTTGTTAGCTATGTGATGTTGAATTTAGATTGTAAGCTTTATTTTATAAACCAGTATCCCAACCTGAAGTCCCAAACTATCTTCTGTCCCTTCCAAGTACATTCTTCCAGTGGTTTAGGGTCCTGTGCATTTTGGCCACTCTTCTTGCAGCAACAATATTCAATTTAAAATGAGGTCAACTTCTTAGGATACTGTAAAACCTATGACATTGATTACGACTGTTCATTTAAATTTTGTGATCATTAAATGAAAAAGGAAATGAAGTTGATCCTAATGATAACCGTACTAGCCAAGAAAATGAACAGGCAAGCAAATTGTAAGGGGCAAACTGATTTAAGGAAAGCAAACCCTTTTCAAGTCCTCTGGCAGCATATTTTATAGGCAAGATTAGTATTTATTGATTTGGAAGTATTAGGTTGAGAATAAATTACTCCATGTATTTAACAACTAAGAATATATTTTTACCTAAAATACTAAAGTATTCTTTCACTAGATGAAGTAGATCTTTTTCTGTCTAACATGGTTTAATGCTGATTAGTGGGCACCTTTTTTATTCACTTACATTTTTATAAACTCATAATAAGGAAATGTAAAATCAATAGCCATCCTTCAGGTCGCTTGTACTTTATATTTTACTTTAAATGTCATTTTCCTTTACAATTTACTATTGAAACTAGATTGGACTGAATTGCTTCTGAATTTTTGGGAAAAAAAATAATATATATATATTCATTTACCTGTTTGCTGAATGGGTTGTCAGTTGTCTTCTTTAACTATTAGGGAAAAAGATTTTGAAATGGTTTAGGATGATCTGAATTTCAATTATGAAAAAATATTTTGTATTCTCTCAAGTATTTGCAGTTTTCGTGATAATTCTCAGCAAAGCTTTAACTTTCAGAACAGGTTGGGAAAATATAAGAGGGGCTGTGCCAAGAATAGCCCCAGGTGATTCCCTTTACAAATACTGGCCGCCATCTTCCTTGGTGCTACAATTCCGTAATAGTCATTATGGCTAATCTTTGGTTTCAGAAGAATTTGACTACTTCAACAATTTGCCATTAAAAGCAATGTCAGTATTCATATTGGCAAACATCTAAGAGCAAGCATGGAAGACTGTTACGTGGCCTGTGCGTCTTTTAGCCTTCGTTCCCTAGACACAAGGCCTACTTCACTCAGGATAGTTTGCTTCTCTCTCTGAGAAGAGATTTCTGAAGTCTACTAGGTGTACTAAATGAGATATATCTGTGTGTATGTCTATATATATTGTATGTATTTACGGCTTTTGTTTTTATGATAACTCATTATAAAAGTCAGTGAGATTCTTATGTCTTGTTTTACAGTAAGATATGAAAAATGGAATTGTTCAGTGTATGTAATGTAGACATCAGAGCTGTCCAAAGTAGTAAGTGTACTTGGCTGAACATCTTTCAATCACTGATGCTAGTTTGGTATATTTTAGTCTGCTTTTTGAAACCATTATAAAATGCCTGAAATAATAAGCTTATAAAGAAAAAAGGTTCGTTTCAGCTTACAGTTTGAGAGGTTCTAAATGATCACTTGGCCCCATGGTATTGGGCCTGTGGCAAAGCAACATATCCTGGCAGGAGTACATGGCAGAGCATATCCACTCAACTTGTGATCAGGAAGCAAGGAAAGAAAAAGGACCAGGGTCCTGCAGTCCCTTTCAAGGGTACACCCCCCAATGACATAACTTTCTCTCATAAGCCCCACCTGCATATGGTTCCACCAGTAGTGCCCTCTACTACGTGGACCTTTGAGGGACATTCAAAATACAAACTGTACTACTCACAATTCAGTTTGAAATTATTTGATCTGGCTTTGCCATCAAGAAGTATCTGATTAAAAAGAAAATCGTTAAGTTTTAAAACTACAGTTCTACTAGAAATAGAAAGGTTTTGGTAGTTAATTTTAGGTGCAAATAACAGAATAAATGTCATGTAGGAATTCAACAAATGCTTTCAAGATTTTATGTTGTACATGGTGCAGCTGGTGGGTCAAGTGTTCGTGTTGGTTGTTTGGTTGGGAAATCTTTGGTGTGTCTGTGTTTATTGATCACTTGTATCTTTTAAAATGGCAATATTTGTAACAAACCTATTCTAATATCATGTGCATATAAATATTGTATGTAGTCAAGAAGACTAAGTTGGTGAAATACTTTAGAAAACACTTTCAAATTTGAATATCTAATGCTTCAAGCAAATTTATTAGAGTTTCAGATGAATATATATTTTTGTAACTGCCAAGTAAATGAGTAGAACATAGCTTTTTGATTAAAAAATATTTTTATAAGTACTCATTTACACAGTATTCATTATTTTAAATGGCAAAATATCAGATTGGTTCTCTAAATAGTAATTGTTTTAAGTATATCTATATTTAACATCATATAACATCCCAAATTTAATGATATATTTCATCTGAATGTGTTATTAGCCCCTTTTCTTGTAAAATATATATGTAACATAGTTCTGATCACTTCATATTTTGTGTATGATTAAAATTATCAGTGCATTATGTATTTTATGTCATTTATTTGTGTGTGCATTAAATATTGAAATGGTAACATCGTATCACAAATATCAACAATAATAAAGGGAATTGTAGTGTAAGCAGTTCAGCTCCTTTTCATTTACATGTGATTAATTCCTCTTACATTCTTCCCTGATTAAAAGACCAACTATGAAACATGGATTTTTTTTACCCTTCAAGAATTCACAAACTTGACTGGCTCCGTGGTGTGTGCCTGGAATCCCTGGGACTTGGGAGGCTGAGGCAGGAAGATCGCAAGTTCTAAGCCAGCTTCAGCAACTTAGCAAGGACCTAAGCAATTAGCAAGACACTATCTCAAAAATAAAAAGGGTTGGGGATGTGGCTCAGTGGTTAAGTACCTCTGGGTTCAATCCCTGGTATTAAAAAAAAAAATCAAAAGCTCAATAGAAGAAAGTTGATATGTGTGCATGAAGCAAATATATAAATACGAGCTGGGGAGATAGGAACTACTAGGAAGGAACCAGAATAAGAAGCTTGATAATGAGACATGGCATAGGAAACTTCATGGGAGATAAGACCTGTGCTGTTCTCTGAATTAACTAGCCGAGCTTTCAAGGTGTCTCCAGTACTTAAATTATGTATGAGCCATTCTCCTGGTTGCTGAGGGTGTCACAAATGCACATAATTCCCTAAACATAAGGTTAAAGAAATTGGTATATTTAAGGTGATTTGTGGAGTGCACAGACCAAAATGTTAACTACCAATGGAAATCAATGAGAAGCACAGGCTATAGAAATTGAATTTAGATTCAATTAAACTTGAACTTCTGGAACATCTACAGATTACTTAGCAGCTACTGAGCTAAGCTGAAGAATTTGTAACTAGAAACACATATATGGCCATTGTTGTAATGGAGTTTACAGGCTAAAGGAGGAAACATTGATATTAATATAAAAAATGATGGGAAGGCTAGGTTAGCAAGGGTAGTGGCTTTCAGGACAAAAAAAATAAGCATCAGGATAAGGGAAGCTTTTTAACCTTGTTCGCTAGAACTGAACGACTCTAAGACAGAAATGCAGTGGTATTTTGGTAGGGTGGTGAACAGATTCGTCCGGACAGAGGATAAAGATGTGTGGATGTGATTAGAAAAAGACAGATGGAAAATAAGATGGGGTTTGGGTGGTGTGCATCTCTGAAGGCCGGGCTAAGAGGTCTGGACATAGAGAGTATAAGAAAATTGAGATAAATAGCTGATGGCAGTGATAAGGAATTACAAATTCCAAGTGGGAAGCTTGAAGAATCTGTAGCTGTTGAAGGTGTGGACTAGCTTTGGAAATGTCAAAAACAATATTAATGGAAGAAGCAAAAATCAATAACTGGATTTTACTTTTTGCAGATTGCTAGTAGACTCTGAGATGGCAAATTTAATACAGCTATAAGAGTGAGAAAATAGAATCAGCAAGTGTAGGCTGTTTGTTTTAAAATAGCCTTCCAGCCCCTTGTGTTCCAGAGATGTTCCTGGGACGCACAGGCACCCAGGCACACACCATGCAAGATTTGTGTGTGTCGCGGGGGGGGGTGTAAAATTAGGTTTGAGAAACACAAAGTTAAGCAAGTTTATTACAGGACTCCCCAACCTCCTAATGTCATAATAACAAACCTGATTGTGGAGGAGGAGAGATGTGGTATGCAGTATTCTTTGAGCTCAAGAGAAAATGGAAAGTGTTTCTTGGAAGACTTGTTAATATTTCCCTGGAGTGCAAGTATTCATCAAAGGACAATACAGGGGGAACTGTTCTGGGAAATAACATGAAAGGAAAAAAATAGTTAACACACTAATGGGGACGGCAGAGTGTTTACCTGATGAGGTGTCACACATTGAGGTTAGAAGGAAGAGATGACAATTATTTGCATAAATGAACGGTCACAGCAAGTTAGGGTTAAAAGCAGGTTGCATCATTCTTTCACCCTGAACCTATGTTCAGGGCACCACGGCCAGGAAGAGCTCATTCCACAGGGATTCAAAGGTATCCTCTCCCTTCCCATGCCTAGCCATGTGATTCGATGTCAGGTTGGAGGTCACTTTGATGTGTTAAAACTTGTCTCCAGTTTGCTCTGGTTTCTGGACTAAATTTAGAATGCTTGATGGCCATGGCCCAGGTGTCATAAGTTAGATGACTTAAAGACTAATTTTCTCTTCACAAGAAGTATTCAAAAGACATAGACTGTATGGGGTTCTCCAGCTTGACCTTGGTTGACCACTTGAAGATTATCTAAATGCAGTGATATAAATTCTGATTGATTTCTCAAAGCCAGGTCATACTGTGGCAATATAAACCCCTAGATTTAGAAAGATATTTGTCTCACCTATGCCACCTCCAAGATTTCTTTTAATCCGAAATTTTCCAGATATCTAAACGTGGACCCTCTTCCTTGTGAATCCATGGGAGCAAGTTTCCGTACCAGACTGCCTGGAAATTCAGCAAGTCCTAGACGTCTTAGACTCTCTGCCCTTGACTCACTATGTTGCTCTCATTTAGCAGAAGCCTGTGAACTCCTTGCCAGAAAAGTGATAAAATATATTATTCCAGAGCTGTGTACTCAGAGGGAAAGGGAGTGATTACCACATGATATAATAGAGTGTTCTGTTGAGGGCACTTTACTTCAGAGGGATGAAGACAAGTGCGAACATAAATAATGGTCAAAGAATGACTAAGGACATGTGGGGATTGATTGCCAGGAAATATTAGGTCTACTAAGAACTGCTGCTGTTCTGACTGCCCACATGTCGCCTCACTGTTAAAAATGTTTACCCGGAGGTTAGACATTAGGACGTTACCTAACTTTAGCAAGGAGGGAGCTGAAAATACTGAATGATGAATAGACTGGAAGGTGCCGGGAGGCTTCTACACACAATCTTTGAAAAACTTATTTGAGTTGTATAAGTCATTAAACAGATGCTTAGCTAGGAGAAGCTTCTTCATTCTCTTCTTGAGAGGAGATTCTCAACATAAAATTAACTGTCTTAAAATCCACAGTTCCACAGCCTTTAGTGTATTCACAGTGTCGCCTTTATTTACTTCCAAATATTCTCATCACCCTGAAATGGGGGTTTCTAAAATTAAGCTTATATGGAGACAATTGAAGATTCACATTTTTGACCAACATGGAGAAGCATTTCAATGAAGGATGGATAGCCTTTTCAACAAATGGGGCTGGGACGGTCAGATGTCTGTAGGCCTGAAAATGATCCTCCAACTAAATGTTACACACTGCACCAAAAAAATTAACTCCAAATGGACTTAGATTTAAAATATAAAATTACAAAATGTTGAAGGAAAAAATAGAGAAGAAATTCTTAAAGATCTAGAGCTAGACAGATTTTTTTAGCCTTGACATAAAGATCATGATCCATAAAAGGGAAAGTTGATAAATTGGACCTTATCAAAATTTAAAACATTTTCTATTTTAAAGCCTATCTGAAGACAATGAAAAGTGAGTTGCAGACTGGGAGAGAAGTGGAAAACCATCCCATAAATCACTCGTGTCTGATGGAAAGAATTCTGAAAAAAAGTTGCAAAAGATTTCATGCTGTATCATTCATTCATACAAAAATTTTCAACCGGCAAAATGATAGAAATAGACCAGATTCGTGTGTAGACAGGAGAGAAGTTGGTGTGATTAGGTAAGAGCAACAGGAATTGTTTTTACTTGACAGTATTCATGTCAATATTCTGGTTTGAAACTACTACACTTTTCCAAATTGTAAACCTTTGGGGAAAATTAAGTAAACAATACATATGATCTTTACTTAGTCTTAAGAGCAAAATACCTGGAAATGAAATTACATTTGTCAAAGCTAATAAACACCATGATTACTTTCTTGTCCTGTCTGCCTTCTAGCATTGGTTCATTCAGAAAATCAGTTGCACAAATTGAGCATGTCCTATAAGACTTGGTTGTAGCATTTGGTACCCGAAATTTCAGGTCCTGAGGAATTTGTATTTTAGAAGTAGCAGCAAGTTTGTTGCCTGATTAAGAATCCCACTTCAGGACTTAATAACTCCATGATCATAAACAAGTTATTTCCTTTAGCCTCAGATTCCTCAAACGGTAAATTTATAATAATAATGCCATTTGCTCCATATGGCTATAAGATGAACTAAATAAGACCAACTAAATAGGATCCATAGATCAGAATTTAGCATTGAGCCTGACAGTTAGAAGCACCTTTAATGGGAACTAAATGAAAGAGTATTAAGTATTATGGGATTGATCTAAGTTAGTGGTAGAAGGAAAGATCTATTCTCCAGAGACATTTCCTTAAGACAGATGGCTTGTCTGAGGAATTGAGAAATACAATTTGAGGAGTTGGCTGCAGTTTGAAAGCATGGTTTCCCATGTGAAGGAGTTGTAGTGTATCTTGTAGACAGGGGTGAACCTTTGAACGTTTTCAAGCAGGGGAGCCAATTAACTGATCAGAAGAGTTACTGTTGTGATGATTCATATAATGTTTCTCAGGCCAAGCCCATCAGAACATCTTGAGGAATTGTACTTGGGGGTATCATTCTTAGTAAGCTTTCCAGCTTTGGGGGATTTTATTTTTTGGTACCAGGGCGCCAAACTACTGAGCCATTTCCCACATCCTTTTTATTCTGAGACAGGGCCTGGCTAAGTTGTTTAGGGCCTCATTAAACTGGCTTTGAACTTGTGATCCTCCAGCCTCGGCCTTCTGAGCAGCTGGGATTATAGGTGTGCTACACTGCACTGGGCCCAAGTGGTTCTTTTTTGTACACCTATATTTGTAAATTGTTAATCTAAAAGTGGTAGAATTCTTTCTTTGTTGTTTGGTACTGAGAATTGAACCTAGGGGTGCTTTACCACTGAGCTACACCTCCACTGTAGCACCCCCGCCCTTTTTTGAGGTAGGGTCTCACTAAATTGCAGAGGGCCTTGCTAAATTGCTGAGATTATCCTCAAACTTGTGATCTTTCTGCCTCAGCCTCCCAAATCCATAGGATTATAGGTGTGCACCACTGCACCTGGCTAACAGTAGTGGAACTCTTTGTTGTTGTTGTACACATAAATTTATTAAAAGGTCTAGAAGTTCCTGTTAGGT